TACGAAAAGACACCTTGATTTGATCAACTCACATTTACGATGTTTGTTATCCCTGGCCTTTGTTTGCCTTTGTTTCTGTCTATAGATATTGCAAAATTACAGCAGGGCATTGTTCTTTGCTATTACGTGATCTATGATTGGTCAATCATTTTACAATGTGACATTTCAAATCGTGTAATTCGTCATTCTTGAATGCAATTAATACGAACATCATCTAAACACTTTTCCCGCAGGAATTTCCAAGTCACCGAGAACGACATCCGATTCAAAAACTTCTGTGTAATATTAACGTGTTCATGAATAACAGTTCAGAAGTGATAAGAACAGCCCACCAGAATTATAAGGCAATTATTTCCATCTTTTAATGCAGAGACTCCACGGTTTATGCGACCAGGAAGATTATCTGCGTTTTTGTCGTGTCGTATATCACAAGAACTGTCTCATAAATTTCTTGCGCGCGCGTCTATATCGGCATGTACATCTCCGATGTGTACCTGTTACAGAAGTATTCTACCATTATTGTTTATATTGTCTCTAACACTAACCGCTGCTGTCAAAAGTGTCCTATTTTGGAATGACATTTAAATCAAGCATCGGCAGAATTAGATCTACAAACAGACAAAGTAACGAAATTTATTCATTATTTGGTTCTCTTTTAATACATTTATTTGTAAGCGAAGCAAAACCAAGCTTATTATGGATTCGGCGGATAGTGCACTCGCAAGCGATTGGTCCTATACATATAAGAATTTAATGCCGCTCCAATCCTAATTTCACGAATCGAGGCATTAAAACAAGCTTATATTTGATATTCCTTAACGAGCGGGTAAATATGCGGTTAGCTTACGGTCGATAATAACACACGTTAAACAACAAATACTCATCCTCGACAAGCAACTTTTTGCTCTTTTCGCTCACATTGTAAGTGCTTACGGTTAATAATCAATATTAATATGTTTATGATTATGTCACTTTTTAGCATATACGCTTTGGGACACAAGCCACCCCTTATCATAATGAGTGCTTATTCACGATTGGATGGTCAACTCTTATCGACAAATTAAAATGATTGGCGTTTACAACAGCGTTGAGGGGTAGCATTTTGCATACTTACGTGATAAACTGTGAGTGGAGCACGTCATGCAGTTAAGATTGTATATAAGTGATGTTCAGATAAAGTAAAATCTGCAACTACATAATCGGTGCTGCAAGATAAGGCTTTCTTTTCCGACCTCTCACAAATGTTTATAGCAATATAGAACATTATGGAAATAACGTTACAAAATGAAGACAAATATTGTGTATATAAGTGACGTTCAGGTAAAGTGTCTATGATTTCTTCAAGTCTGTTTACATTTATATCCGATACGTTTGCCAGAATCATAAACCATTTGGTGGTATCAATGTATTAGTGGCGGGTGATCTATGTCAGTTTCAAGGAACAGCCGTCTTTTATTCTCCCGTATGGCAGTTATTTTACCCTCTCTTTTTACGCAAGTCTCAATGATAACAATTATTTTAACGTACGGAAGAAGTGCGTGTTAATCCATTCTTTGATGTTATTAAATTCATCCTTATCAACAGAACAGCCTACAATCTCTACTTTATTTACTAAATGTGAATATTAGATGCATCATGGCAAATGTTACGAAGAAAACACTTCCAATATTCTAATACACTAACTTCCGCAAACACTTTTAATACCACCTCCATTGTCGGATATAAACAATCAGCAGAACAACTTAACATTTTTCTTTGCAATTTATTACAAGTTACATGCGAAGATGATATTCTGATAAGCATAGCTGTTGACAAAGTAAGCGGTGAAGTTTGGGCCAGCGAACATTCACAACGAATATTTAAACAGCACATTAATCTTCCAGTTAAAATTCGACTGCAAGCCGGCGCACGAGTAATGTATCTGAATAATGATATGATTAATCGAGGAGTATGTAACTGTACGATAGGCGTCGTCACAAAAGTCATTCAGCCAATCGAACAAATTCACGTTACTTTCTCGGTAATAAATCTCTAATACATGCCGTGGTTTCCCCCAAAACGTAACTACTTTTCAATTAATGGGACGAACGCCTCTCGCAGACAATTTCCTTTACAAAGCTGTTTCGCGCGCTTACAGTGCACAAATCTCAAGGGCTGACGCTGTCACACATATCCCTATATTTGGATAGACAATTCTTTGCCGTCGGCCAAGCTTACACTGCTTTAATCCGTGCGACATCTTGGGACTGCGTAGAAATAGCCTGTATAGATAAACAAGCGTTTTCTGTCGATCAAGACGTAATTTTCGAATATGAACGTTTAAAAAATAAGGCTACAACAATATAACGTTTTGTTGACCATTACCGTTTGTTTACTCAATCGAGGCAAATTTTTTTTACGCTCTTACCAAAAACAGTACCATCAACATTTTATGATGTGACACTAAATTATTTGATCACATTTTCACATGTAGTAAGCCACCGTCCGATTGCATTGTATATCCATTAGCTATTCACAAAGCCATCCAATGCTCTGAGATTCATCCCATAGGAAAGGCGTGAAGATCTTTTTTTGGTGCTAATAACAGACATCTTTCTGCTGGTTTCCTAACAAAAGCTATGCATCCCAAGTGTTCAGCAGAAAATTCAATTATAATGTGCAAAGTTTCAAGTAACATACTTACAGCCCATTTAACAATAGCTTCATAAAGGAAAGTAAATTCTGGCATTTCAGACAATTGTGTAGCACAGCTGCATTGTCCACTTCAGTCAAGTGGTAGTGTCCTATTAATTGCACATCAGTCAGCCAGTACATAATAATAACTGCATCACTCATTCAAACAATTACCAATATAATCTAGAGTGTATAGGTGGATGTAATGTTTGACACTTGCTCCGCCAAAAACCATCATCTCTGGTACTATTGGTCATCGTTTTTCTACTCTGTCTTTGACAATATCAAACAACATCTTTCTTAAGTTGAAAGCAATCTTTGATTGATCATTCAATTCCTTCCCATCTTCAACTTTGGCTGAGTGAGAGCCCTCCACATAGACAATTTCATATTTGTCTGCATCAACTGTCAGACCTGATCCATCTCCTCTTTGTTGTCCAACAGAGGGAATCTCACCACTAATATTTTTGACAACGAGTTAGACTCAGGTTCATGGAACATTAAAATGCAGATAGGCAAAAATAACTTACAATGAATAATAGACATTTCCACATTGCCAAAGAGCAGCCTTGAAACAGGGGTGAATATAATTGTTCAAGTGAGGTGCTTCCAATGCTTCAGCATTCTGTAATAAGGGATTCATGTGTTCTAATGAAAAGGCCTGCAAACTGAGAGATATCAAAAGTGTTCAGAAGAGGCAAAGAAATCTATAAATAGCTGTTTGCTTTGAAAAATAAAACATACAAGTTATCTTTATGATTTTTATCATCATACAAGTGACATCTTCTTTATAGTCTCTTCCATCAAGAGCATCAACAGCATCTGACCGCTGTTGACATGTCAAATCCTATATACACAATGCATATTTAATATTAGAATCAACAATCACCAGAAAGAATAATTCTAATTCTTACTTACTTGTTCAAAAAAGTTCACAAAAAACTCATGTGTTTCTTCTGGGATCAAATTATCAAAAGATTCAAGTGACATAAGGTATTTTTTATATAGTTCATCAGGGATTTGTTTTACAAAATCACTTTTTGGTGTCATGTCCATTATTCCTCTGCATGC